TTTTTTGAACCAGTAATTACTACGTTATAGGACCAACAAAAATATCCCACCCAAGGGTAACCCTAATGCTTTTTGGCAACAGAGGATACCAACTGGCTTCCAGGGAGCTTAAGGAGAAAAAGCAAATGTCAGACAGTGTGAGAGGGGAAGGGGCCCCATCCTGGCTGAGATCCACTGGGCAGAGTAGGGGGAAAATAGGCCAGTCTCTTGGCCCAATGTGGTTTGGTCAAATGATTCCATTTCCTTCTATCAGCAAGGATTTTCCACAAGAACTACAGCTTCTACATATATTAGTAAATTTCTTTTATGAGCAGAATAGCCTCAAATTTATAATCTACTTCCCTGAGAAATGGTACGCTACTTCCAGTGAGGAGTCAATACTGAAACTCAAGTTTTCTCAGTCCCCACCAAGAAAGAACCAACATCGAATTACAGAAAGCATATACATAAATGTAAACACAGTGTTTGGTCAATGTTCACAGTTAACACCAATGGTGGCAATCTACAGAAGACTGACATCATCCAGCTGTCAGAGCTAGAAGACCACCACTCCTTCTGGAATAATAAGCTCATTGTCAATCAGATGCATCTGATTTTTAGACATATTCTTGCTGAGATTCTCCTCAATTGATGACCTGAAGCCCCCATTTCCAAGTGCCACAAAAGAAAAAGAGGGGGGTCAATCAGTTGTTCTTGCCATAAGTCATATATTTACAAGTAAGGAAAAATCACTTCTCTTGATATATTTCATTCTTGAATGGAAGAGTGACGGATGGATCTGTGATAATCCTCTGGACCGCTGATGTGTTCAGGTAAGTCATAGCCCCTCAGGAAATGTCCACTGTTTTGTTGAGCAAAATAAAATAGTTGTCTGGCTAGTAGAGGTTCAACCTTAATAAGAGATTTTAAAAGACATTACTGAGACATTCTTTTTAATATCTTGCAATCAGCTTATCAAAATAGCTCTCAGTACTTAAAGATACAGTAAAGGTGAGTACAAAGTTGTATGTTATAACACATCAAAGTACTTCATACTTGGTGCCACCTAAAGAACTAATTTTTTGTTAGTCCTTCTGTAGAGTAAACTTTACACAGAATCTAATTTTGTTTCATTTGAGATTAAAATAAAGACAAGACTTTTAAATCAACTATCACTTGAAATTTATATTTAAGATTGAACTGACTCAGGTAAAATGATCAAGTTAAAAGAAAGTCTGGGGTAAAATTCAGGGTAATTTTGGCCAATTAATTTTTTTTTTTTTCTCAATTGCATTCGATGAGGATGTAGGGCTCATCCTGAAGACTACATGAAGATTCCTACATGAACCAAATAATCTACATTTCTTAACCAAAGAAAGAAGCAAAATGACATGACAATAAAACTGCAATTATGGATAGAGAGAAAGTAACTAAGCCCAAATTTATGTAGTCTCGTTATCAGTGTAGACCACATTCACCAAAAAATCATCCACCTTTCAGTTTGTCCTAAGTTCACACCATGCTGGTGTAGGGGATAAATCATTTGGCTGTAACCAGAGGGTTAGCAGTTCCAACCCACCAGTTGCTCTGTGAAATGAAAGTAGGGCAATCTACTTCCACAAAGATTTATAGCCTCAGAAACCCAATGGGGGTTGCTATGAGTTGGAATCAACTTGATGGCAGTGAGTTAGTGAGTTTAGAAAACTAAATGTCAGTATTCCAAGTCAATCGATTACTATAAATATCAAGCCTTTCAGTATCACTCATTCACTTAGAATTTTTAGTATCTGAAATGAGTTAAATCCAAATTTAAAAAAGAGTGGTAACTCATGGGTGTAAATATATACATTTTCAGGGGAGTCTTGCCTGGGCAGAAGGACCTCTGGTGGCTTAGTAGTTACAGCATTTGGCTGCTAACCAAAAGGTTAGCAGTTTGAACCCACCAGCTTCTTGGGAGAAAGATAAGGCAGTTTGCTTCTGCAAAGATTCACAGTCTTGGAAACCCTTTGGGACAGTTCTGCTCTGTCTTAAAGGGTCTCTATGAGTTGGAATCGACTTGATGGCAGCAGGTATAGTTTTTGGGTTGCGTGGGGAACCCATCCTTGCCTAACATAGAGGACAGCTACTGTGTCCAAAAAATACCCTAAACATTAGGTTGATGTAGGATTTTATCACGAACTTCTTAAATGACATTTATCAATGCCAAATTCATTTAGTCACTTAACAATCTCATATAGTTAACAACTAGATATACTGGAAAGCATTCATGAGTAAACTCTAAAGTCTATGAGATTATATTTTTGTTTATTTGTTAGGTTTTTTTCTCCTACACAATCAGGAAGTGGAGGAGATTGTATATTCAAGAATAGAGAGGGTTTTGTTTCAGTTTTCCATAAGAAATATTATCAACTAAAATCTGAGCTGAATTTTTGACATAATCTTGTGTAGTCTTTACCCTATTACTGCTCACTAACTCTTAAAGGTTAGTGCTCATTAATTCTTAAAGGTTATATAAGCATCAGTGTAGTTTTCAAATCTAAAATTCTGAGGTATTCAAGACTGTTTTCTATGGTGAATTAATAATAAATGTTCTTTATATAAACCTCTTTTCTTTTTATGAAAAAAACATATATATGTTTATTTGCCATAGAGGAACCCCTGTTAAACCATTTTAGAGAACATTATGGTGGTTTGGTAAACTTGAATTCCTTGAAAGATTTAGCCTCATCCAAATAATGAATTTGTGGTTTCTAATAATTAAATACTTTCTAGAAATTCAGAAAGAAAAGAGGAATTGGGAAATGGAGAGGATATACAAAATACAAAAGTGAACAGCCTCCCAAATGGGAAATATTTCTTCATCATACAACAGTTAGCTAGGCTGCATTTTGAAAGCAATATTCAACAGGAGAATTTCAAGGGCAATTTTGAGCATCAATCCTTTTAAATCCTCATCAAGTGGGAATATGACAATTCCATAAAAAAGTATGAAAGGATGGGACAGTGAGTGCTCAGTCCCTTCCAGGTTCCGCAATAAGCTGGTGTCTCACAGTAGAGAAGGGGAAAGTGTTCTATGTGAAGTTACTTGCACAGTTGGCCCCACCATGCTTTCTTGCACACTCTTTTAAGTGTTAGGCTGGTTTTCCAGGTTATGTGACATTTACTTTACACTCTGGACTTCTCTCAATGGGCCTCTGCTCTTAGTTAAGGAGGAACATAAATGTTAAGGGACACTTACGTGAGCAGTGATGAGCTTCCTCTGCCTTTGAGGGTCTGGGAACTCCTCACCAAAGCACAGAGTCACCTGGAACCTTGGGAGGGCGCGGCCATGATGAGCAAATGCTTGCAGCTCTGAGGAAACCCACAAGAAGAAAGTCACACTCAGAAATCCCTCACTGTTGAACACACCAGTTGATAGTTGAAAACAAGACCTTACTATGGATTCTGAAGACTAATAGAGTATGCACTTTTTATTTCCCTGAAAGTGAGGTACAAAACTGCATGTATAGGTTCATGTTTCATTTGACTCTTAAAAGTCAATGTGACCAAAAGATTAAAAACACTGCTTTGTAGCATTAGACCCAGGAGGATGAAAAAGATAGCAGAATGGAGTGAAAGAGGGAGAAAAAGAACTATAAATGTTATCAAGTCAAGGTAAAAGTACAATTTAAATTTCATTTAAAAAAAGTCAGAATTTTAGGACATGTCCTAGGATTTAAAAACCCCATGCAAAACCACTGAGCCCACATAATCCAGGTTCCAGGATGTGCTACAGCAGGCATCTGTGAGACTCGGAGTACTACAAAGAATGCTCTACATTAACCTGATAAGTGAGAACAGTTATTGCCAGCTGTGTCCCACAGGGCACCAGGCTCAAACTGTTTAATTCTGAATGGACTTTTCACCCATCTTCTGGGACAGAAATATGGTTTGAGATGAGAAGGACAGTGAGGAGGCATTGCTGGCCCCTACTTTTGTGGCAATGTCCATCCCACAGCCAGTGCCCCAACCCTAGGGACATGTAACAGAGATGGGAACACTGCTGGGGAGAGAAGTGCTCAGCCATTATGCTGACCCAGTATCCCCTCACCCACAATCAAGATGATTCTAATGCCTCTAACTCTTTCTGCTCTTTGTGCAGAGTAAAATGTCATGTCCCCAAAAGAAAGAGCTTACAAAGTAGCTAGCTATGAAAGCTTCTGCAAAACATCAGTGCACATATCTTCATCAGATATGCACTCTCGGGCGAAGCCTTCTGGGGCTGTCCCTAGTAGTCTGCAAATCCTGAATGGGTAGATAGCAAAGATTTCCACCGTCCTCTCCAACTGAAATAAATTTTCTAGCTAACTCACTTGAATATTTGATTTCCTTATTTCTTCCAGAGTTTGAATCAAACTTCATCAGAATATGTGAACTGCGTCCACACTACTCTGATCTGAGGCCATTCCCATACAAGCTGATCAGAGTGGAGAGCAGGGACATTCAGGGACAATTCTTAATCATCCAGAAGCTGGTCTACACACTTTCAAGTTCACAGGGTCCTCCTTGAACCTCAGTGAACACTTCAAGGTAAAGGTTGCAGAGGGAGGAAAAGAAGACATGACACCTCTTGCTCAAAGATAAACATTAAAGTCTCAGCAGGTGACTTGGCAGCCGAGGAGGCTCACAAGGTGCACATTGCCTCTGCTCCCTCTTGCCTGCACCATTTCTCTCAAGCCATATAGCTGACTCAAAATACACCTGATAAAAATGTACAGTTAGAATTGGAAGATCAGATCTTCCTCAAGTATAATAAGAGAAACTCAGAGAAGCAAGTCATTTTCCTGGGATGTCTCCACTAAAGCCCTGAGTCCCAAGACACAGAGACCCATTGTCTGGGGAAATCATTCTGAAATGCAGACACCTTCCCTGTGGTGTGAGACCTCCCAGCCTCCACAAGCTAATCAGAGGCACACACAGGGCACCTACTGCTCCTAGGTCTTTCTTAAGCCCCTCGCGTCCACCAGCCATACTCCCACCAAGACCAGTGGAATGCTCCCAGCAGCTGTCTGAGATGCTCCATCACAGAATGAAGAGCTCTTGGGACCCAGCCTTCACCACAGAGCTGTCTTAGGAACCCAGATTCACTCTTTCTTCCTCTATTCCACCTGGGTAGGAGTTCAGTCATCTCAGGATGTGTTTAGAGCATCAAAAGAGAATTTGGATGAGCTTTAGTAAATTTCGGCATCTTAAGCCTAAAAGGCTGAGTGAATGTTAACAGTGCCAAAGCACAGAGATTCTTGATGTTTTTATTTTAAACAAATTAACTCCAGAATCACCTTCAGTGAAGGTGAAGGCACCTGAGAAACCAAAGACCATAAGTGTTTTTAAAGGAGGGCCTCATAGGAGAAGAGATAAAGGATAAGGCAAAGGAAGAACTAGCAGTTGGCTGATGGAACTGACTTTTCATCCCTAAAAATGTCTCTGATATCTAGACAACTATATCAAGACTCTGGATTAAGCCTCAAAAATGATACACTCAGTGTATTTACAAAAGCCTGCCCAGGGCTAATTTAATTGCCATGAAGTGAAAACTGGGAAAACAAAATTTACTGGTTCTGGAAAATGATTAGAAACACTTTAATCATACAGATGCCTCAAAGCAATCTTATAACTACCCCTCTGCAAAATCAATTCAATACACTCTCTTGTTGGTTCCATGAGTTATAAGACATTTGCATAAGGGTGACACATCTCATAACTAAGAATGGTAATAATATACCTCTAACCTTTTACTACTTTTCTGTTGTTGTTGTTATGTGCCTTCAAGTCGGACCCTACTCATAGCGACCCCTCCTTGGGTTGCTGAGGCGGTATCACTATGGAAGTAGATTGCCCCATCTTCCTTCTGAGGAGTTTGAACTGCCAGCCTTCTGGTTAGCAGTCAAGTACTTTAGGCACTATGCTACCAGAACTCCCTACTTTTCTAGGAACCATAAAATATCCTAAACATCAAAAGATACACTTTCTGAGGTCATATTGTTGATTTGACTGGTAACCAGAAGGCTGGCAGTTCAAACCCACCAGCCACTCCTCAGAAGGAAGACTGGGCAATCTACTTCCATAGAGATACCACTTCAGAAACCCAAGGATGGGTCGCTATGAGTCAGATTTGACTCGATGGCAGTGAGTATTTTTTATTTATTTTTTTAATTTGTTGAAAACCAGAACTTTACAAAGCCATTCTGGAAAGTAGTTCATCTGAGTGTTCTCATCTGGATGTCTAATCCCAACACTGCCAACGGAGGGAGCCAGCAGGAGGATGCAGTAGCTGAGAGAGAAGAACCAGAAAGGAAACTTGTTCTGAGATCACAGAGCTCAGAAGTTGATAGAAGATATCTGCCGGGTAGCAGGCATGCCTTAACCACCTCCATTCTCTCTGACCCAAACCATGGTCTTTTCAATCACCCCACATGCATGTAAAAGCTGAAAAATGAAAATGTAAGACAAAAGAATGAATACATTTGAATTGTGATGTTGGCGAAGAGTCCTGACTATATTGTGGACTGCCAGAGTGTGAACAAATAAATCAGTGTTAAAAGAAACACAACCAGAATGTTCCTCAGAAGCAAGAATGGTAAGATTTTTGCTTGCTTACTTTGGACACATCATCAGGAAAGACCAATAGAAAAGAACATAATGTTTGATAAAGTAGGAAGTCAGTGCAAAGGAGGGAAAGCCTCAATGATATGGACTGACACAGTAGCCAAAACAGTGGATTCAAATGTACCAATGATCATGAAGACAGCCTAAGGACTGGGCAACGTTTCATTCTGTTACACATCAGGTCACCATGAGTCGAAGAAGATTTGACCCACCAGCCACTTCTCGGGAGGAAGGTTGGGCAATCTACTTTCGTAGTAATACTGCCTCGGCAACCCAAGAGGGGTCGCTATGAGTCAGGTCCTACTCGACAACACATAACAACAACAAGAAGAACAAAAGCAACAATTTTCTCTCTAAGCTTAACAAGTGTTGGGGTACTCAATTGTAAAAGGCAATTAGGTTCATTACCTGATAGGAACTGCTGTGTATCAAACAGCTTGCAGGTCTGATCTCTCTCCAGCTTGTTGGGCCGGTCGCTGCACAGGGCCAGGGGCCCATCCCAGTAGATCCTGCTCTGGCAAAGTCTTTTAGCATATAGCCCATCAGGGGCCATCCAGAGGACCACACCCCTTTCCAGATGGCTCAGCAGTTTCTCGATGTTTTTCCTCTGGCCACTGTCTTCTGGATAGGGGAAGAGAACCTGATCCAGGTTGCTGGCATCGTAGGTGTGCCCATGGGAGATTCTGCAGCCTTCAGGGCTTGAAGTGGTTAGCTCCTTCACCAGGATTTCCCGGTAGTACAAGCAGATGTGAAGCCGGCAATCTATTGACAGAGAGCTTTCCAAGTTAGTATTAACAGAAACAGAAGCATTTGATCCCCATTATAAGGCTGACCAATGTTACCAGACAAAATGGACTTTGTAGAACACTAGCATCACATGATGCTTTGTGAAGAAATAAAAAGTTCCATGACCAAACAAGCTTGGGAAATGCTGCATGCCTCCATCTCTCTCTCTTGGGGATTCACACTGTGAGGGTATTAACACTTACAGAAGTCCCACAATAAATAAATCTATTTAGTTTTGTCTAACACAGTATTTTCCTAACTTATATGGTCATGGACCATTTTCTTTTTTGAGGGGGTGTGTATCTTTCATTAAATTTCTGCAAAATATGTTTCATTTGTATTAGAGAGGAGCACTGAGGAGCTCACTTCATCATTTCAGAACTTTCTAGATTTTTGATGATAGTCATGACAGCATTGATGTCTAAAATTCTTCTTCAGTGTAATACATGTAGCACTGAAAGAAGTCATCATTATCATGGCAATGAATTTCAATTTTGGAGGAAGTAAACTCTATGTTTGGGTTCTACTAGCAAAAAGAATATAATGGTATTTCAGAAAAAAACAAGTATGTCTATGTATCTGAAACTACCCTAAAATATGAATATGGTATCATTTGGGTAAAAAATATATATCTGTAGGTATGCACAGTGAAAGTTCAGGAAGGATATGTACTAAGGTCTTAACTGTGGTGAAAATGTGGTATTTTTATTTTTCAGTTTTGTTTTTCTGATTTTTAAATTCATTTTCTACACATACACCATTTTCATAATAAAATTAATTCTTCTAGGAAGAAAAGAATCAATGAGAAAAATATTCTGAGAGCCAACAGTTTATATATAAAGTATTGAAATCCAACTAAGCTTTGTGCCCAAGTTTGAAAACTGGTGCTTTCTAAAATTTTAAATAAGATTAATTCATTTATAAAAACTTTATTTATTTAAGAAACTTCTTTAAAATATCACTCACATTGAAAAGCCAAAGCTAGGTTTGTAAAGGGCTTCTTAACTGAACTGCAAATAGGCAGTACATATAGCTTCACTACTCATCCATAATGGCATGGGATTTAAATGTGAATGGGAATTGCAGTTCTCTAATAAGTGTGCTCAAGTCAAAAAGTAAAAAGACCCACAAAACCCTCTTATTCTTCAATGGCAGGTTTTGAGAGTTAAACAACCCACATCTTTGTCTCAATTCTCCTCTTGGCTCGGCTGCTATGAACATACTCCCGGGGGGGGGGGGCTCAGGTGGCATTCACGGATGGAGTGGGTGTTGGCCATTCGAGGTGATTCTCAGAGCAGGTTTCATTTCATTTAATGTCACCAGAAATCATGAGGCCACAATGTTATATATAGCTGTTTATTTCCTACTCTTTGGCCACCCACGCAAGTCCTAGCTACTCAAGAAAAGGGTTTTAAAGTTTCTAGAAACAAACACAAGCCTACTGCTCTATCTCCTCCCCAAAGGCAATCTCAGTCATACATGAACAGCATTAAAAAAAAAAAAAAAGGCAATGAGGCTCAGTTATGAATTTTGAATTAGAAAGAATTGAAAAGTACAACTCCTGCCCTTCTGTGAGCAACCTGAGCACTGACAACTCTTGTCTCTCTGAAACCTTTAGGTTTATGTTTTCTATCACTGATTTTTAAAGAGGGTAGCAGCATGGTGAGAATTCTAAACTTAAGCTATTCATTTTTAATATAATGTGCAAATCCCCTTTTTAAATATGCATAATATTATCTAACATACTTAATATGTCAAATATACGTAATACATCTTGAGATACCTTTCCTCGGAAGGCAATCTGAAAACAACTTCATTTAAAATAGGTTCATATCTCTGTGGTACTTGTATGTTTTTAGAAACAGATTTTTAAAATCAGATTGAATCCATATTCATTTACAAGAGTTATCAAAGTTCAGGGGGAGACCAGATGCCTGTTACTATTAGACATGTAAATGCCACAAAGAGTTAGAGCCAGAACTAACATCTCCAGGAAGCAGAGAAGGAAGACTTACTTATAGTTAAGTCTAGAAGGATGATCAACTTTTAAAACAAGAAGCCCTATGCTTTTCTAAGAAATTGAACTACATTGTGAGAGGGTTGGCTGAGTGTATGCCATACTATCTGGGAGTGCAATCAGAAAAATAAAACAAAACCAAACCCACAGCCATTGAGTCAATTCCAACTCATAGAGACCCCCATTGGTTTTCCGAGGTGGCAAATCTTTATGGAAGTAGATTGCCTGTGTTCCTTCCATGTAGTGGTTATTGGGTCTGAACCTCCAACCTTCTGCTTAGCAGTTAAACACCTTAGGCACTGTGCCACCAGAGCGCCTTGGGAATACAATTGTTGTTGTTGTTGTTGTTGTTTGCCGTCGAGTTGGCCTCGACTCATAGTGACCCCTCCTTGGGTTTCCGAGGCAGTATCACTACGGAAGTAGGATTGCCCAACCTTCCTTCCGAGGAGTGGCTGGTGGGTTTGAACCGCCAGCCTTCTGGTGAGCAGTCAAGTGCCTTAGGCACTATGCTACCAGAGCTCCTAGGTCTCACTAAATACAGAACCTTGCTAAATGAAACTGCAATGTTTGCATGTTCTGGGAATTCTGATGAATGCCAACAGAGAATTTGAAGAGATTCAATTCAAACCAGTGTTTGTAATTGCATCAGAATCATAGCTGTCTTCTGACTGGTGTGTGTTGCTCCTTATTCACCCCTGTGGGTCATCAGGAGGTTAACACACCTCCTCAAAGACAACAGTCAGGAAAGCAAGTGTTCACTGCCTAGTGTCACTATGCTGAGGGACACCTTACCAGATGGATCCAAAGACTCCCACAGAACTCAGGGTGCCCATTTCCCAGTGTTACTATGCCCAAGGACATCCCACCAGACCTGCCTGAAGATGCCTTAAGGGTAAAGGGCACAGGCAGTCTCCTGTAGGTGTGTAGACTTGGGGTGCGGCACTCACCTGAGAGCGCCAAGGCTTCAGCAGACCTTATGCTTGGCTCTATGGGGATTCCAGGGGCCTGGGACTCAGGTGGGGCACAAGCATAAAAGGTTCCTGTTACCTGGCAACCTGTATTTGCAAATAAAAATCAAATGATGTCTTAATGGAGAGCCCAAAACATGATAAGGCTGCCTGACCCTGCGCTGATGTGCACACCTAATGTGGACACACACCTGCATGTGTCCCGTCCACCTGCCCTGAGGGCCCACCACACTCCAAAGCTCATTAACTTCATGGCACACTTTTGTGAGGCAAGGGCAGGATTCATTCCTGTTTAGAGAAAGACTTAAGGAGGAGTGAACTGTTTCACAGAATGCTTGCTTTGGAAGGAACCTAGAGCTCTGCCTTCTTCATTGATAACTAAGGAAATGCAGGCTTAAAGAGATGACAAAACTTGCCCCTGTGCACACAGCATGTGCAGAGCAGAGTTGTGAAGTATCATGTTGGATTTTAAAATAAAATATCTAGTCCACATTTACTCGGCTTACTATTTGTGGGCTTAGGAGAAAACTGGACCATAACTCTTGCTAGTACAGTAACTGGTGTATAGTAAACCTTCAATAAGTGTTTGCTGCATTAAAGATGAATAGAGAAGGAATATGCAACAGAACCTATTTTGCTGGCATTACATTTAGTGTTAGCCATACTTCAAGACAATTTCTGTCTGTTCCATCTGTTTGGACAATTCTAAATTTTGCCTCTTTACAGTTCAATAGAGCCAGGTATGTGGGATACAGGTCTGAATTTCAGAAGTGAGGTTAATGTTAGCTAACTCCTTTACTATGATACAGAAAATCAACCTTTGTTGCAAATCATTCTTGAAAAGCTAAAAAATATTGAATTCTGAGCTTTTTGTAATTATACTACTCAATTAAAAAAAAAAAAAAAAAAACCACTCATACAAAATGCTATAAACCAAGAATGAACTAAACATTCTTCATTCATAAAAAGTGAAACTGGCCAAATTGTTAAGGAACAAATATTCCTAGAGTATATATATGTATAGTGTCAATGTGTTGATATGTTCAGTATTTCTATTTAAATAACTAACTTAAAGTCCTAAAAACTTGTGTTTTGCTACATTAAACTCACCTTGTGAAATTTCTCTACACTTAGATAATTAGCTTCTGCTGAGAGATTTCATTTGATGTCTCGGAAACTCCTTATGGGCATGAGATCACATCTAATCCAGAATGAGCAAGTCTCTTTGGGACCCAACACTAGCACTTGGCACCTTATGGAGACATGTTTTCTTCTGGTGTTTATTCATTCCCTTCTTATTACCTCTGATACTAAGAACTACAGTGGGCATGTCATCTTTGTTCAAGAGAAATGTACTATCTCAGTAATCTAATATTCTCACAGAAGTAGGGCTTCAGCATAAAATGGAAACTACTGAGAGTACATGGCCCTCTGTCAGCATTGATGAACAATCCAGGAAGGAAGCTAGCCAAAATTCACTACCTTTTGCCTAAGATTAAAACTAAAATATAAGATAATTCAGGTAGGGTTAAAAATGTTAGCCTATTAATCAGATAATTAAAAAATATATATATAAACAACCACCTTGACATCTCCTGTCTTAAGAGGAAGGTTTGGCTTTGGGGTTAGGAAAGCTGGAATTGAGCGCTGGCCCCAATATGTCCCTGGGCAAAAAAACTTTGGGCAAATTACTTGCATTCTACAAGCTTTAGTTCTTTCTATAAAAAAACTGGTAACTTTTAGCTCTCTGGGACCATCTCTGTGCTATTTACATAAGATCACATGCAGGACAGTGCCCAGCATTGATCCTAGAACATAGTAGGTGCTCATTAGTTTCCTTTCTCTAGGGGCCCTTACTATCCCTTTTCTGACAGGTGAACCTTTCCTATCTGCCTTCGAGAAGGCGAATGAGCAATGTTATGGCTAGAAAGACAGATGAGGAGAGATCATGGCCTCATGGTACCAGTAGCAGCTGAGGAGTCCCAGAAACTAGACCCAGCAAACTCCTTACCATTTTCACACGTGGGGCCTTGCCAGTGATGGCTGCGGGGCCCAAATGTCACAGGACATTGGTAGGGGATTTCTGGGTGTGGCTGATCTGGGACATACTCCCTCCAGCTTCGGTCATGAGGTGGCATCATGTAGTTATGAACCTGTCAATGGAATATGAAGTAGGAACTAAGGTGAAAAGAAACCTATTCAGCAAGTAACAACCATTTGTTGGCATTGAGGAAGATTGAGATTTTTTTATATCCTTCCAAATTCCTCAGAAGGGTCTCTTATTTAGTTGGCAGTCAAAATAATTTTACCATCTGAAAAGACTTCAGAGTGAGTTGCTCATCACACTAGGTGGAAACCAACCACAGAGTATCAAAAAGTACAATTGAGACACTGTTGAAGGGTAATGATTTAAGTAAAGCTTTGTCATATGGTTAAATCTGGCACCAAAATTACTGCAGGAAAAATTGCCTTCTTTTACTCACCAAAGTGAAATGAAACAGAGCTGTAATTCACATCAGAACAGTCTGGAGAGGTCAGCTGCCCTGTGGTTTCACATGATAAAGCACTACTTCCAAAATTTCAGGCTTTGACAAAAGGTCTGTTTCCCAGATTTTAGAATCAGTACAAAAGGGTTTGCTAACAGGCAGGCATACCCAGCTATACCCTATTTAAAACTATTTGGAAAGAGATATTTATTCAATAACCAAGGATTTTTTTTTTTTTTTTTTGGTCTGTTTCACTACCTTTTGTACATTACAGTAAAAAACAAGTGTCATTGGTGTTTGTGTTTGTTCATTCCTGACTGTGGGGGCCACTGAACAACTGGCCCCCACCCCAGAAGCACCGTGCCCTCTGCTGTACCTGAGACGGTAGTGAAGGATAAGGAGCTGCCATGGTGTATGAGTGGCTCATGGCCATCTGGGGGTCCTCCAAGGTGAGCTGCTTTGCCCCTGAATGGTTGGGAAAAAGGAAATGGTACAGTATGAAAAAAGGAACTGAAATGATTAAAAGTCAAATCTTGGAGAAATAAATACCTGAGACTTTAATTCCTAGAGTGCATAATACAGTATTGACAAATGAAGTCTTCAGCAGTTGCCCTGGGCAAGTACTTGTTCATGCCCTTAAATTATTTCCCTGAGATCTGACTTTGTAGGCCAGGTAGAGTTAAAGAAACAGATGTGTGGGTTCATTTTTTTGGGACCCACAGAACTCCACCTTGTGAACTGCCAGAGCAGGGATTTTCTGTGAGGCCCATGGAGCAGCCTCAGGGCCATCTATGTGGCTTCTTTAGAATGCAGATTCCTGGGCTCTGCTCTCAAGATACAGTGGCAGGATATTGGAAAGACAAGTCTAGGAATCAATTTTAATAAGCCCTCACTGATAACTCCACACTCTAAAATTTGATATGTTAATTACTATAAAAAGTAACAGTACAGGAATGCACACTCACCTTCTACACATGGTTAACCATGAAAGACTGGTAGATAAGTAAAGCTTCCAAAAAGCTTTCCATTTTTTGTTGGTAATTTAGTTTATATCTTAATAGAACTAAGTGGAAAGTGCATGTGCAAGCACACACACATGCACACACACACATACAGGGGTAGAGAGACCCTGGAGCTTGAGAAATTATCCTACATGAATGCCATGAGAATTTTAACTTATGATCCAGAGAAAATGAATGATGCACCTGCAGAGCCTGAATATGAAACAGGAGGCAGGCAGGCAGGCAGGCAAAAGAAAGAAAGGAAAGAAGGAAGGAAGGAAGGAAGGAAGGAAGGAAGGAAGGAAGGAAGGAAGGAAGGAAGGAAGGGGAGCCCCAGAATGATTTTAAGGTTTTACAAGGCTCATGTTGCATATACTGTGACCCAAATTCAAGTTATTTAGGAAGCCCTACCTTTTTTGGCTCCCTCAGGAACAATTCTGTAGACTTTGTATGGATCTGAGATATCCAGTTGGCTCCTCTCAACCAATTCCTCAAAATCATTGCTCTTGTTCAAAGCACATCGCAAACGTGTCTTCCAGGTAGGAGGGTCTGGCTTATCAATGCCTTCTCGGAACTTTCCTTTAAATAGTGCCCAAGCCTGACAGGAAAGAATGAAGAGAAAAAAAGTTAAAATATAGATCTTGGAAAAAAAATCTTCAAATTCTATTTTATAAAGTAAATAATGGTGCTTAGATTGAAACTTTCTCAATATTCAGGACAAAAAGACACCAGATGTCTCATAGGTAAAGAATATTTCACTTTGGACCCTATCACTGCTGAGTGAAGGATCCATGGTGGTTTGAACATTCTCTGGGCATGAAAAAGTGGCTTTTATAAAAAGTAGGATGAGATGTTGAGAACCCTTGGAATGGGTTCAACCCACCCAAAATTTGAAGTGGGTTTGACTAGAACTACAGACAGAGATGTGGGGGTGTGCAGCTACCCACAGAGTCATCCAGACGGTCAGAAGTTCTGAGGTATCTGAGAGCAAATTCCCTGAGGAAGTCCCCTTCCCCTGCTCTGCCCACAGACAGCCGGGCCCTAATGCACACTTCACTAGGCAAACTGCCCTGAGAGACACACAGAAAACAGTCCAGAGAAAGAGCCACAGAGAGGCCCAAACACAGAGAGAGACTGAGACTCAGAAGAATGTCCAGAGAGACTCAGAAAAAGAGAAAGTCAGACAGAAATACAGAGATATACAGGGACACAGAGAGAAGAACCCAATGAGAGCTAAAATGATAGAGAAAGAGAGCAAACTAGAGCAGAAAAAGGGAGAGGGAGAGAGAGAGATATCCAGAGAGAAAAACACTAAAACAAAGAAAATGACACAAAGACAGTGAAAGAGAGGAAAAGAGACAGACTGGAGCACATCCATGGTGCTCACAGAAAGAGACAGAAAAACGCACAGTGATGTACAGAAGCAGAGAGGGATCAGAAAAGGTGGAAAGACAGAGTCCGAGGGCCAATGGAAACAGAGAAATCCAGGGTTAAAAAAAAAAAAAAAAAAAAAAACCCACCAGGAACCTTTGGGCAAAGCCCTCAGACCTACTTTCTCCCCAGGTAAGCCCCCAAAGTTCCCAGTTTCTGGAGCGCTCTGACTCCCTGGGCACTGCTCTCCGCTTAGGCTCTGGTGGGAACCCGAACCCGTTGGTACAATCACCTGAGAAGCTGCAACTTCCTCTCCCTCTCCCACGGCCACGGTCATCTCTACATGAGGCTCCCCGAGGGCGCCTACACCTTTGGGACTCACCCACCCAATCTGTCCGGCGTGTTACCGGTCCCTCCGAGAACTGTCCCGGAGCAGGGTTGGGGATCAGCTGGTCTCTTCACCATCCCCTGCCCCCCCTCAGCCCCGGGTGTGGGCTCGGGTGCGCTGATGACCTTGAAGAGCGCGGCGTCCTCCTCGCGGTTGTAGTCCTGCTTGCCCGCGTGCTTCCAGGGGATACGGAAGATGCTCTTCTCCTCGTTCTCCCACACCAGCCCCGGGTACTTGCCGCTGTCGATCTGGTCTATCAGCCACTGGCGGAGTTTCCCGTTACCACAGCTCACGGAACTCATGCCGAACTCGCCACCACGGCCGCTGCCTTCCAAGTTCATGCCCCGCCGCGGCTCCGCTGTGTTCTATCTCCGGCTGCAGGCAAGAGGAGCGACTGGGTCCCGCCGCCGCGCCATCCCAAGCCCGCGGCCGACGACCACGAGGTCTGCGCGTCGCCGGGGCTGCCAGGCGCACGGCGAACCTGGCGTTGTCCACGAACTTAAAGGAAAGTCCCTTCGTGGGCAGACGCGTTTCCCCGGAGCTCACTGTCCGGCCGCCCCGGAATGAGCCTCCCTCTGTGAAGTCACCCCCACTTTGACCCTTGCAATCTGGGGTGTCTCTTGACCCTGGGTGCCAGCGTACACAGAGATGTTATCTTGGCGCACTCTGCCTAGGCCTGATGCTGCCACTCTGACACCTGCACTCCCTCCGCACACGCACTTCTTCCCACACCTCCTTGCTCTCTCCTAGGCCATTGTGGAACCACTGTCACCTTCCTCCCAGTTTCCCATCCCGGCCCACTCTCAGTTGCGTAGGGTTCTCGAGCACGGAGCACTTGACACGCGAGGCCCGCCTCGTACCCGCCAGCCCGTAGCAGGGCGTCCCGGAGGCGCGGCACCCCGCGTCTCCGTTTCCTTTGCCCAAGAAGAGCCCTGGCCTTCGCTAGCTCTAGATGATCTGGTGGGACAGTGTGGGGGTTGCCATGGGAGAGCCGGGCTCGGCAAGGAGCGCTAAGGCAGGAAGGTACGGAGGAGGCTAGGCCAGGGTCAGAGCTTGGGAGGAGGCGGCAAGGCAGAGTGGCTCCAGGCCGCGCGAACATGGAACGCCCCTCCGCCACGCCCGGAGGCCACGCGCTGGCAGCTGCAGCGAGGTGGGACTGGCAGAAAGAGACGCTGGGGAAAGAACCTAGAGTCGGAGCCGAGAGGTCCGGGCTTCCATCCCAGGAATGCCTGTCGCTGCGTGTGGGTCGTCGAGTAGCCCAGCCTCGGCCACTCCGAGGCCGAAAAGTCCCGTTAGCAGCATCTCCCCACTGCTTGAAGTGGGATCTCCCCGGCCAGGCTGTGCCCCACGTGCCCGGAGGAGTATAGGTTCTCCCTGGACCTGTCGCAGACCCGGCGGGAGTCAGGGTCCTAAAGGGACCGGTGCCCTCGGTTTCCCTGCTCTCCCCCCTGGAATGAAGCTCTGGGGGCGTCTTCCTTCCTGTTCCCGAGCCCGCCAGGTGCCAGAGCCGACCTCGCATCCCATCCGGACCCTGGGCCTTACCTCGCTCCCGGCTCGGAGCTGAGGGTGGCGTCTGGTCCCAAGTTCAAGTGGTGAAACTGTGGGGTTGAGGTGGGAAAGAGGAACTTTATAGCGCTTGATAGCCGCGTTGAGGCGGAGGGGGCGGGCCGGGGCGGGGCGCGGCGACCTCGCCCCAGGGGGGCGCTGCAAGGGACCAGGCTAGTCCAGGAGGAGAGGTGCAGCCACTCAGCGCTGGGGGCACTCCGGCGACCTCCGAGACCCTCAGGCTCCAGGGCTCCGGCTAGGGCTGGCCGCGGTACCTCTTCCAGCGAAAGACTAGGCGCTAGGCAAGGAGCACACCTCTGCCCAGGACCTGCCCGGAAGGCCCTTAAACAACTAATCACAGCTACCACGACCGCAGCAACGTGACGAGGGCGGGAAGTAGTGGGGTGGGAGGGACGTGTATGAGCGGAAATCTGACTCCGGGGGGCTAGAGAGTGGATCTAGAAGGTGCTTTTGCAGAGCACTTACCGAAGACGAGAACTTGTCCATATCGAAAGTATGTGTGTGTATGTGTGTGTGTATGTGTGTGTTGGAGTTGGAGGCGGGGGGTGGGGTGGCTTGGCGCATTATAGTCATCTCTGAGGTGTTTAAGAAACCTCGCAGTGTTTGAAAAGAAAAAAGGAAATGGCCCAAATCCCTTGAACATATAAACTGTGGTTCAAATACTGTGCCTACATACTTAGAAATCCTTACGTTCTTTGCATCTATTAAATTAGTGAATTGACGTGACTCAGACAACGCGTAGCCCCCCAAAGTTTCAATTATAGAAACATGGAAGTGTTGGGAATGGTCCCGAAGTATTCAAGTCCTAAATCACCCCCGTGTATTTTGGTTCACCTTTAAATGACAGAGTTTTAAGCTCAACCTGGGAGAAAGCAGTATGTTGTTGGAGTACAAATGTCAAAAATAGGAATAATATTAAGTAGATGTAGGATTTTATCTCTTTTTCTAACATGTCCTTAATATAAAAATAACTCTTCATCACCACCAACTGAACTTTCACTCTGTAATACTCATTTGAGGACCATGAAAGCCGATCTTGGATGTTTTGAGCATGTTTACTTACTTAGTATTTTCAGGTAAACTGTCAGATCATGGGTTTCTATATGATTTTAGATCACCACCACCCCAGGTCAGCTTGCAACTTCTGAAAACCTTTTGATTTCACTTATTTCTCAGTTTTTCTTTTTATCTTATATATTGAGTCAATGTCTCTTCCCAAGGAAACTAGCTTGTGCTACAACCAAATCAGCAGTGAGGCACAAAGAGGCATGTTTTCCTACAACTAATAGACCTTCTCAGAAATCAACAGGATGTCATATTTTTATTTGACCCAAGTAAGTTTTCCATTATCAGAGGCTTTGCAATAAACAACACAGTTGTGTTCAAAACAAAATTCTATCCACAACCTGTTTTTCTTTCTTTCTTTTCTTTTTGAAGATTCATTCCTTCAACAAATACTTTTTGAGCACCACTTCTTGTCCAGAAGTGTTGTAGGCACTTGGGACAGATCAGGGAACAAAGCAAAGATCAATGCCTTCATGCTATGCTTCGTATGAAAAATGAATGACTTTTTCACAAACTGTTCATAAACAGACCAGACAGAAAGGGATAGCTAAACTAAAAAATGGCACATTAGAAGTTTTTTTTTGCACCTTCAAATACGTGTGATCCACACCAAGTTTAATCAGTTTGACATTTTCATCACTTATCCCCACCCTCTGACCTGGAGCAGTCATTGTAGGAAACTTTGTGAGACTGCACAAGGCTACCTTATTCTGAAATGTGATTGCTAATCTTCAACGCCATCTTCTGGCTTACTCATTTGTTATATTGATCCACTACAAGAAATGATTCTTTTTGTTTTGTATGATAAGGTGAATGCAACAAATACAATATTTTAACCACTAAAATTCTTTGTGCCTTACTATTCCGGGGGGTGGGAAGGAAGTAACCAGGAAGATCATGCCAATTGCTCATCAAATTCATCTTATTCACAGTTGAAACTGAAAATGACAAAACAGTTCTTAACGTTGAAGCTCCCCCCCACAAACACTCAGACTTGAGAAAATCAAAGTATTCCTCAGAAAAAGACTACATGTATATTTATCTTCAAATGACACAACTTGTTGAAAAATGAAAACAAATAGGAAATCAGTCAACTGTATGTTCTTCCAAATGAAGGCTAATTATCAAGTTCTATGAGGAGGTTATTTATTTTACTGAACTGCTCAGATGTTGACATTCTGTGTGTTGATGGAGCCTCATCTGAATGGAATATTTCAATTTCCAATTCACATTTATCATAAAGAGATGTAAGAAAAACTGAATCTTACCTAAATTTAATGTTTTAAAGATCAATCTTTTTGAATTATACATTCACATTCAAGAAAAATATCTTAGAAATCCCATACTAGACACATAAAAAATAAATAATTGAAACCTTCTTTTATATGACACTAGTTTCTCATTAATTCGTTCTTTAAAAGAGAGAGGAGCTAAAATTTCTTAAAAGCAATGTAACAATATTCTTGAAAAAGTTTACTTGTAAAGTATCAGAAAATGCTAAAATTGTTTTTTTTTTTGTTTGTTATTATGTAACTCATAAAAATTAAATAATTATGTAGTTCCTGAATATGTCATTTGATGCTTTCTGGCTATATGTGTATGCAGTGCTAATTACTACCATTGACCATCACATCTTCATATGGCAGGAAGTTGCTATTATTAGTGCTTAAATGCTCAGGTTTGGGATCAAATCTGTTGGACCTTGGGTGACTTATGTAACTAGAGTTTTACCTCCTCTGCACAGGAAGAGTTATGATGGTCCCTGCCTCCTAGGGGTGTGTTGACAATGAAATGATACTTCACACAATGACTGGCACACGGAGTGTTCAACAAAGCAAGACTCTTATTACTTACATAATAAAAAATCACTTCAATGATGAGTAAATTTCGCAGACTTTATCTCATTTGATGTCTAATACAAATCTGCCTGGCAGATAAGGCAGGCAGTATTCAGCCCAACTGTCCAGATAAAATGAGAGAGAGAGAGAAAGTCAGAGAGGTTTGCTGAGGTTAAAATGGCACACCCGATAGCACAGCTCTGATAAGGTTTTTCTCCTTATGTAAAAATCATTTGGCTGCCCATTGAACTGAATATTTTATAATCCACTGCTGATGGCAGGACTGGCAGTTGGGAGATGGTGTTTCAACTACAACTCTGGCATTCACTGTTAAGTCAACTTAGGTAGGACTCAGTCTTCCCTGACTTCATTCTCCTCTTCTACAAGTAAAGGTTGGGAGCTTCCAACCCTAAATAATTATGTTTTCTCCTTTCAGCTCTAACTCTGAACAGTTAATGACACTCCAGTGGCCTTTTTGGTTATTGTAAATTCAGAATGAGAAAAGATACATTTTTTTAAAAACCACTGACCTGACTACTTATCTTCACTTCATTCTTTTGCACAAAGCTATATTCATTTTGAGTAAATTGGAGGAAATTGACTGCTGCTTCTCAGCTGCTATTTTCAAATATTTAACTGTCTAAAAAATGAGCTTATGAGCTGCTTATATAGGGGAAGGCACAGGAAGAGTTGGGATAGAATACTCTGAAAATAAAATTATACTTTAAATGCTCTTGTTCACACCAAGGTTTAAGGAATTGAGTTGAATTTTTCTTTGTAAAGTTATAAATTCTCTATTAATATCAAGATGACACAAAAAGCTGGATTTTTTTAATATCAATATATATATAATTTCCTAATTTAATTTGAAA